TTATTATAGTAGTCCTACAGTGGTTATTATAGTAGTCCTACAGTGGTCATTATAGTAGTCCTACAGTGGTCAATATAGTAGTCCTACAATGGTTATTATAGTAGTCCTACAGTGGTCATTATAGTAGTCCTACAGTGGTTATTATAGTAGTCCTACAATGGTTATTATAGTAGTCCTACAGTGGTTTTACAGTTATTCTATAGTGGTCTTACAGTTATTCTGCAGTGGTTTTACAAATATTCTATAGTGGTTTTATAGTTATCCTGCAGTGGTTTTACAGTTATCCTTCAGTGGTTTTACAGTTATCCTGCAGTGGTTTTACAGTTATTCAACAGTGGTTTTACAGTTATCCTGCAGTGGTTTTACAGTTATTCTATAGTGGTTTTACAGTTATCCTGCAATGGTCTTACAGTTATTCTACAGTGGTTTTATAGTTATCCTGCAGTGGTTTTATAGTTATCCTGCAGTGGTTTTACAGTTATCCTGCAGTGGTTTTACAGTTTCCTGCAGTGGTCTTACAGTTATTTTACAGTGGTTTCACCGTTATTCTACAGTGGTTTTACAGTTATTCTACGATGGTTTCACAGTTATCCTGCAGTGGATTTACAGTTATTCTACAGCGGTTTTACATGTTTCCTACAGTGGGTTTACAGTTACCTGCAGTAGTTTTACAGTTTCCTAGTTTCCAAGTGGTCCTAGGTTTCACCTCATCATCTAACTATTGCACCCATTTGTTTCCTCTATGCACAGTGCAGATATTGAACCATCTCAATAGCCAGTTTTGATGCATTCAGGGTTCTGATACCTTGGCCTTCTTCAGCAGCAGGATCATCTCGTCCTCCTTCCTCTGAGATTCATCCCGCTCGTCTTCCTCAGTGCTGCTGAAAAGGGAAAAGGCTGAGGCACACAGACACTGTGTGAGGAGCAGGAAGCTGGTAAAGAACACACCTCCGATGACAAATGGTTGACTCCACCTACCAACTGCTGCCCACAGAATTCTTCTTTTTTCTCCTCCTCCTGGACCTTCATGGAGCTTCCTCCTAGTGGCTTCATGTCTTCTCACAGTTACCCAGCATGCCGAGACGTCTGTTGCCTCAGGAATAATCTGAGAAGCTGTGTAACTGTGCCTGGAAAATAACAGAGCCAGCGATTCAGGGACGTGTCACCTAAGTCAGGTGGAGCATCAGGAAAGTCACTCATTATATCAGTGACATCATACGGCCAGTGACATCTTCGGGTCAATGGCATCATTGTATCAATGACATCATGGGTCAGTGACATCATGCAAACAGTGACATCACGGGGTCAGTGACAACATGGTGTCAGTGACATCATGCAGTGACATCATGTGACTGCTGACATATTGAGGTCGGTGACATCATGCAGTCAGTGACATCATGCTGTCGGTGACATCATGTGGCTGGTGACATCATGATCACACCTTGAACCTTCAGTCTGATCAATATTTGTTCTTAATAAATAGTTAGTCAAAGACCACGAAGAGGGAAACATGTCAGGAGACAGAGGAGAAGAGGAAAGTCAAGAATGTAAAACTGAGGGTTGCAGCTCTGAATGTGAATCTGAATTTTGATTTCAATCAGAACCAAGGTGTCTCCTGTTTTATTTAATGAACCCAAAAGAATTTAATGTAGTATTAGTCACTACATGGGGACAATAACAGGCAAAGGTAGAGAGCTGGCTGACATGATGCTGAGAAGGAAGGTAGATGTTTTATGTGTCCAGTGGAAGGGCAGCAAGGCTCGCAGCATTGGAGCAGGGTTCAAACTGTTTTACCATGGTGTGGATAGAAAGATAAATGGAGTAGAGCTGGTCCTGAAGGAGGAGTTGGTAAAGAATGTAGTAGAGGTGAAGAGAGTGTCAGATAGGGTGATGTGTCTGAAGGTAGAAGTAGAAGGTCTGATGCTAAATGTTGTCAGTGGTTATGCTCCACAGGTTGGATGTGATGAGGAGGAGAAAGATACATTTTGTAAAGATCTGGATGAAGTGATAGAGAGTATTCCCAGGGAGGAGAGAGTGGTGATGGAGCAGACCTGAATGGACATGTTGGTGAAGGAAACAGAGGATGAGGAAGTGATGGGTAGGTTTGGTGTCAAGGAAAGAAACAGGAAGGACAGATGGTGGTGGATTTCACCAAGAGAATGGAAATGGTTGTAGTCAACACCTGTTTCCAAAAGAGGGAGGAGCATAGAGTGACCTATAAGAGTGGAGGAAGGAGTACGCAGGTCGACTACATTCTGTGTAGAAGAGGAAACCTGAGGGAGATTGGAGACTGTAAGGTTGTGGCAGGGAGAGCGTGGCCAGACAGCATCGGATGGTTGTGTGTAGAATGACTGTTGTTGTGAAGAAGAGACTGTCTGTGAGCAGCAGTTGGAGTGAGGACAGAGGACACAGAGGACACAGAGGACAGAGTGAGACGGAGGAGGACTCACTGTGGAGACCCTGAAGAGGGAAAAGCCGAAAGAAGAAGAAAGCAGCTTAACAGAAAACCTTCACAGATCAGTAAGTCCAGAGCAGGAAGCTGATCGAACATGAGTGAGAAAATGAAGAGAATAAAATGTTTTTTGATCCATGAGGTCAGCTGTTCTGACCAGGTGACGTCAGCCACTGGAACCCAGCTGAGCCAGCACAGCTTTCATTTACCTAGAAATGATTTAGAGCCCTGGACAGTTTGGGTGTTTTCTTCAGCAGGTTCTGGTCTTCTTGCCCGAACTCACCTGTTCTGCGTCACAATCAAAACCAACAGAGGTCGCACGCACGCGCAAAACAAGAAAAACAAAACAAAAAAAGGCAATTTCTGACCGGAGTTCGGTTCGGAGAACACCGGAAGTCACCGAACCGGAGCCACGTGGTCTGCTCAGGTAATTAAATACTCACCTGGGTCCTGCAGAACATCCGAACCTGCTCAAAGTTCGGATCAGTAGTGCACGGTACCGACAGGACGCCGCCATCTTTAATGTTTATATAACGAGCGGAAGCTCGACTGAGTTCAGCCTTCACAATAAAAGCAGCTTTAATAAATTATCCAAAAAAGTTCAATCTGGTCCTCTGGACATCCAAAAAAACAACAACAAACAAACAAACAAAAATAAAACAGCTGGTTCTGGTTGTCAGCAGCAAACTGGTTGATCCACCCTGAGAAAATGCTATTTAAGAGACTGAGGAAGTCCTCAGGATGAGAGACAAAACGTTTCTACTTTTTTTGCTTTGTTTTTTTGTTTTTGTTTGTTTGTTGTTGTTTTTTTTGAATGTCCTGAGGACCAGATTTAACTTTTTTTGGATTTTTCTACCTGGATTATTGAGCATGCATCAGGATATTTAATAAGTTATCTGTTACATACAAACCAGTTTCCAAAAAACCTTGAGACACTAAACAAACTGTGAATAAAAACTGAATGCAACGATGTGGAGATGGCAAATGTCAATATTTTATTCGTAATATAACATAGATGACAGATCAAAAGTTTAATCTGAGTAAATGTAACATTTTAAAGGAAAAATATGTTGATTCAAAATTTCACAGTGTCAACAAATCCCAAAAAAGTTGGGACAAGTAGCAATAAGTGGCTGGAAAAAGGAAATTGAGCATATAACGAACAGCTGGAAGACCAATTAACACTAATTAGGTCAACTGACAACATGATTGGGTATAAAAAGAGCTTCTCAGAGTGTCAGTGTCTCTCAGAAGCCAAGATGATAAGAGGATCACCAATTCCACCATTGTTGTGCAGAAAGATAGTGCAGCAATACCAGAATGGTGTTACCCAGCGTAAAATAGCAAAGACTTTTAAGTTATCATCATCAACCGTGCATAACATCATCAAAAGATTCAGAGAATCTGGAACAATCACTGTGCGTAAGGGTCAAGGCCGTAAAACTCTACTGGATGCTCGTGATCTCCGGGCCCTTAAACGTCACTGCACCTCAAACAGGAATGCCACTGTCAAGGAAATAACAGAATGGGCTCAGGAATACTTCCAGAAAGCATTGTCAGTGAACACAATCCACCGTGCCATCCGCCGTTGCCTGCTGAAACTCTACAGTGCAAAGAGGAAGCCATTTCTAAGCAAGCTCCAAGAGCTCAGACGTTTGCACTGGGCCAGGGGTCATTTAAAATGGAGTGTGGCAAAATGGAAGACTGTTCTGTGGTCAGATGAGTCACGATTTGAAGTTCTTTATGGAACACTGGGACGCCATGTCATCCGGACCAGAGAGGACAAGGATAGTCCAAGTTGTTATCAACGCTCCGTTCAGAAGCCAGCATCACTGATGGTATGGGGTTGCATGAGCGCTTGTGGCATGGGCAGCTTGCATGTCTGGAAAGGCACCATTAATGCAGAGAACTATGTTCAGGTTCTAGAACAACATGTGCTCCCATCTAGACGTCATCTCTTTCAGGGAAGACCCTGCATTTTTCAACACGATAATGCCAGACCACATTCTGCAGCAATCACAACATCATGGCTACGTAGGAGAAGGATCCGGGTACTGAAATGGCCAGCCTGCAGTCCAGATCTTTCACCTAGAGAGAACATTTGGTGCATCATAAAGAGGAAGGTGCCACAAAGAAGGCCCAAGACGATTGAACAGTTAGAGGCCTGTATTAGACATGAATGGGAGAGCATTCCTATTTCTAAACTGGAGAAACTGGTCTCCTCTGTCCCCAGACGTCTGTTGAGTGTTGGAAGAAGAAGGGGGGATGCCACACAGTGGGAAAAATGGACTTGTCCCAACTTTTTTGGGATTTGTTGACGCCATGAAATTTGGAAACAACAGATTTTTCCCTTAAAATGAAACATTCTCTCAGTTTAAACTTTTGATCTGTGATTTGTGTTCTATTCTGAATAAAATATTAGATGTTGGCACCTCCACATCATTGCATTCAGTTTTTATTCACAATTTGTTTAGTGTCCCAACTTTTTTGGAATCCGGTTTGTATATTAGAACAATAATTTTAGTTGATATTGTGTTTAGTAAAAGTTAAATATGGTGGTAATTTAATTGACAGGGAGCTAAATTAAAGTACAAGTTGTGCTGAAAGATTCAGATCCAGAAACAAAAAAACTCGTCAGAAAAAATAAAAAGTTTTGTTTTTAAATTTTATGTATTGTTTTTATACAAGTCTGGAAGTTCATTACAAACATGACAGAACGTGCATGTTTTTGTTACAGAACAAATAAACAACAACAACAAACGTCTGATTATGATTAACAGGTGGAATTACACATATACTTGGTGGACAGGTTGTACTGATCCAGGCACAGGTACCAGAAACTGTCTGAAAATTATTAATTATTTATTGTGAATTTGGCAGCATTAACAGATCTTAATTCTGATACAGTCAGAACCAGGTCTGGATCACAAGTCCCAAATGTATTCAGTGAACAACTCAATCACCTGATCATCTGTTCAGCCTTAAGTCAGTCTCAGTTTAGTTTCAGTTCAGTCTTACTTCAGTCTCTGTTCAGTCTTACTTCAGTCTCGGTTCAGTCTTACATCAGTCTCAGTTCAGTCTTACATCAGTCTCAGTTCAGTCTTACTTCA